TTCTTCTTCTTCTTCTTCTTCTTCTTCTTCTTCTTCTTCTTCTTCTTCTTCTTCTTCTTCTTCTTCTTCTTCTTCTTCTTCTTCTTCTTCTTCTTCTTCTTCTTCTTCTTCTTCTTCTTCTTCTTCTTCTTCTTCTTCTTCTTCTTCTTCTTCTTCCTTTGACCTACCAGACCAGAGAGCACCTCTCAAAAGCCCAGAGGGGTCTAACTGGAGAAGGGGTCTCGGAAGTCTTACAAAACCTGGTGGAGATCTCTCAGGATGGAACCAGCTACAGTGGGGATCTGTTGTCAACTTTTGACATACTCAGGAACATGACTGAGATTTTCCGCAGGGCATATTACAATCCAACGATGAGTGATGTACAGGTGAGTTTACAAACAGGAATCCACGCAGGTGTGAATTAACATGAGTATGAAGGCTTAGTATTTAGATTACAAATGCTTCCATTTTGTTTATTTTTGGTTTATTCTGAGAATTCTCAATTTAGTCTTGATTCCAGAGCAGTGTCTGTCAATCTTGACAACTTGAAAATGTGTGGACTTCAACTCCCAGAATTCCCCAGCTAGCATAGCATGACTGCCTGGGGAATTCTGAGAATTGAAGTCTACGTATTTTAAAAATTGCCAAGGTTGAGAAACTCTGATCCAGAGTGATTCTGATAGAGCTCTTTCATAGTTCGTTGTGTACCGTGAAGTCGCACGTACCACCAACGAGGGTAGAGATGGCACGACAGCCTAACGCGTTTATCATTTTGATGAAAGCTTTCAATTCCTCTGAAAGCAAAGATGTGCAAGGGAGAGATGGCAACACTTGATGAGATTCTAGCCGATGAGCCCTGAAACATTGGCAATCAGCCAGTCCCAGGCCTAACCGGGACAGATTACAGGAGATTAGAGAACCAGTAAACAAGTAACAAAGAGGGGTATTGATTAGGGAATGGGTTCAGCCAGACAGTCAATTCCCGTTAATGCTTTGATCAGTAGATGCTTTGCCAGGACGAAAAACCCTGATGGAATCTCATCTTAGGAAAGTGATCAGTGACAAATTGACATGCATGCTAGGGACGGAATTTAGATGAGCTTAAGACTTATTGCACTCTTAAAAAATAACCAGGAACAATTGTCTTTTTTCTTTAGAATGTTTTTTAGAATAGAATGGACTGTAGTAGAATATAATACAGAATACAGAATACAGAATAGGATAGGATAGGATAGGATAGGATAGGATAGGATAGGATAGGAT